GCATACATTGCTTGTAAACATCAACTACACACTTGTAATGCCAAGTTCCATGTGGTGAATTAACTGGACACTTGACAGCTACATACCTAACGTGGGTTTATCGTGTTATGCAGAAAGCTACTTATTCTTAAAGGTGGCTTTTAAATTGTAAGAGCTAAGCGAATTTCTTCTCATTTTATACTCCGATTACAAAAATAAACATCGTAATGCCACCTGTTTACAACTGTTTACATAGTTGAAAGAGTCTGTCGTAGAGTGTGTCACTGCTGAAGTTTTATCATAGAAAAAACATCCTCCTTGTGTTGGTTAGTCTATGGTTTTATTTTCTATTTTATCTTTTCATACTGTATGATAGGTGATGAGGATATAAAAGATGTTACATTAGGTTATTCTCTCAGTTCAGTGTGGTTAAACAATAGGGAAATAAGAAAGAAAACATTATTTTACACCACAGACTCTTGTCAAGAGCTCATTTGATCTAAGTTTCTTTATTCTAAAACTGGCTTTCTCTAAATCTTCAGAGCGTCCGAGATTTGAACAAGAGAATAGAATGTATATTTTTTATGGTAGAGCATCTATAGTCAAGGGTTACCTGTCAGTTATGGCTGGTCCGTTAATCTGTTAAATAGTCCTATTTTAGTAGGAAAACCCCAACACCGTAAAAATATTAACTATTTTAGATATGACCACTCCTCTATATTGGCTGGCGTTTTGTAAAGTTCACGTTTGAGTTCTAGATGTTTTAAAATTAGAGTAAAAGTAGCCACTATTAACAACAAAACACAAGTCGCGGTGCCACACTAGAAACTGAGTGCGCATTTCTTCGCGTTGGCTGTCATTTAAAAAAGTAACATTTCATATATGAAGTACATGAAGTAATGTCGCTCAGAATGAGAGTAAAAGTGGACAAGTGAAAAGTGACAAGCTCACACGGATCATAACAGCTTTCGTCTGCGTACCAAGGAAAGTTTACGAGTGTTTCTCTATTTACTGTTGCAGACTAGACTTTTGTTGAGGAAAACTAAAATCTCACAAATTCCCAATGGATCATGGCTGTTTTAATATCGTGCCCCAGTGGTACGGGAGCCCGATTAAGCCGTATTGCCAGCAAATCTGGGTTAGCTTAGTGGTTAAAGTGCTCCCCTGACAATCAGTGAGAAGAATCGTAAGTTTTTTGATAGTTAAAAACAGATCTCAATTGTCCTTGATTCAGGTTAAAATAAATGGTCCTGGCAAAGAAGCAGTTGATCTAAGTCAGCAACAGTAGCTCCACAGGTCATCTCACTCCATTCTGCTCTCTCCCTGCATTGATATTATTAGCTTACATGCACTTTAGTGTGTGGCTGTCTACGAGAATTGATCGAATGACTCGTAGATTTACTCAGCCTAGGTCACGCATGGTCATGGTCACTACGCGTAGTCTACGAGCCTTGTATCCTGTCACTTGTCTGTTGTGCTTGTGATACTAGACCTCACCTAACTGCCGCCTTCCTTCCTAGGACATCAAAGGTGTTCCTTTACTCGCCTCTACCTCCGTTTAAAGATAACACTTCTAACTGTTTCGTGTAAACTCGCGTTTCCTGGATACTTTGTATTATCTGAGAACTGTAAAAAGGTTAAAATCGCTGGAACTGCCTAGAGATTACATCGGTTGCAAAACTCGCTTATTCTCTAACAAATTAACATTTTATCGTGGTGTTCTTTTTGTGGTGATTCACAAGAAATCGCTAGCAAGAACATTAACCATGATAAAACTTTGGTTTGACAATCCCTTTTCCAACCCTAACCGTAACTAAAACAAGAAAACATCCAACTGGGGTTTCCAATCAGGCTCCCAACAAGTAGATAAGGGTTGTTTATTCTCCAATTACTTACCACTACACTTAACGAGCTAACATATCTTTATGTGTTAACACCAAGCTGAAAGCTATACTTCTCTGCGGTGTATCAGATAGCACGACTTGCAGCGCCACAGCGGGCGTAGTTACTTCTTCTGCATCTCTATAGTTTATGCCAGCCCCGAGCCTCAATCTCAGCGTAGTTAGCATAACCCGTCCAATCACAGAGGCCGATACCATCATTATATGGCAATATTCAATATTTACATGCTGCACACTCGCGCACTCTCATTGCCTGTAGTTGTTTACTGAATAGTCGCAAATTGCTTTAAATAACCTTGAAAATTACTGAATGATTTAGTGTAATTGGTATAATTCAAAGTGTAGGCCTACATTGAGGTCCGATTGGTGAATGAATTCACTGCACAGTCATATATAACGTAATGAAATACAATAATATGATCATTAAATAATACTGCATACTCAAATGATCAACATCTCCATCTATCAATACAAAAACTATTATTTTTTTAAATCTTTATTGTTCTTTTTTATACAGTGTACAAAAAATGTGTCGTCTACTTTAAAAATGAAGACTTCTATAACGTTTCAAATTGCAAATTATATTTTCATTGGTCTAGTATTTTTTTGGAAACGTAAGATTCATACGAAGACGTGGAAAATTTACAATTTAACTAACGGAGAATCATAAATAAACATTTAATTACTATTTTCGAAACGCCATGGAAAACGTTGGACTTGCTTAATTAAACATTACATTAAATTATGACTACACATAGAATTTAAGAAATGTGTTTTGTAATTAGTTTATCTTTCCTTTGAAAAACTGTATGATTTTTTAAAGGGGTATTTAGTAAGGGTTTATCAGTGTGGTGAAGATTGAAGGTATCATGTCAAAACTTTATCGCGAATTTCGTACTAGAACACAAGAACGAAAAAATTACACGCGTGTGTTGAAAAGCAAAATTAAGACGAAAACCTCTGAATGAATGTGGTTGTCGTTTCCTGCACTTATAACCCAGCTGTCAAAGTTCTGAATTTTAAATCGATACTATAAAATAAGATAAATCATACAGCAAAAATAACATCACAATCTAAAACCAGTAGTGAAGAGTTTGAGCTAAACTAAGTTTCAAACGTACAACAACCCTCATAGCAATTGAATGCAGGACTAATATATCGTAAGCATATGTAATAAGAAACTATAGCACAGCCAATTGCTAATGTTTATTGCGTTGCTTATTATTGTCGCATGGTGCTGGAACCATTAACACGACAATGAAGTAAATTCATAAACCGTGTACAATTACCCTATGCAGTTTTCAATAGCCGCTGCACCGGCAGCCAGTAAGTGAGGATGTATTTACATAGAATGAAGTCGGCCGAGATAATCGGCAGCGATTGTTGATACGTCGGGCCATAAGTAACGAATGTTTGCCTTCCGATTAATCGTTATTTGCCGCTGCCGCCTCTTTAATGACGTGTACTAGCTTTTGCTTGTTGTGTTATTATCTTTTTGCTAACTGAAGTTGAGGTTAAAAAGAGAAGTTGCAAAATCATAATTACCTAGCTGATCATACCTAGTTAATCAAAAGTTAGAAAAAATGTATAGATTTATATTGACATGTTCATACACCTTTGCCTTGTTCATACACTATTTATTACAGTATAAACCAAGAAGAAACCGTATTGATCATATTACTAAGATAATTTAGCGTAAAGAGCATAGAGAAAACATTATTTTAGTCAGCTTCCTAGAATATAAGCTATTTACTGAACGTTCAACCGATTTAGTCCTGGAAAAGTAAATAGGTGTGTGATAAATAATTTTGCTTAAAGAACCAACTTATAGTAGCACTACACCTACTGACTAAGATCATAAGATAATCTGTTTACTTATCTAGAACCTGTACTGCCCAAACGAAAGGGTTGATCAAGTTTCGAGCAAATCATAAAGACCGATCTTTCTCAGCGGCGACCTTCAGATAAGTTAGTTAAAACTCATTCATTCTTCCCTCGTCTTCTCCTTGAAAACACACTCAGTTGTGTCTTGCATCTTTGGTTTCATACACATCCAAGCTAATTAATCTATCACAAAATTCACGTCGTAATATCTGGATAAGGCCACATTATACAACAGTAGCGCCTCATCACGATGTCTCGTGCCGATGCATCACGAGCTACAGTAGCCTACACAGGCACGTTAATGACTTAATTGCTACCTCGGAACATGTCCGATCACTGGTTTGGTTGTCAAAATAATGAAGCCGCTAATTACATCGGCGTTTAAAACACCCCGCAAACGCGTGCAGATACCAAGGACGTTCAGATGAATGTTCCAATTTGCATATCACTTTGCGCTTCATTGTTAGGCAAGATTGTTAATGTTCTTTCGACGATTGGTTTTAGGTGAAATAAACTAGTATGGTTATGTTTTCTTTTATATTTCGTGTACTATGATGGATTCACTGATTTAATGTTGTTAGATTTGACAACAATGGAATTCTGGTTAAACGTAAAAAAATTTCAGATTTAATTTCTTTCTATTGGAACGTCAATTTAACATACTATCCAAGACCCTCTGATGTTTTGCTGCGATGCATTTCGTCAGTATGGTGAAATCTGCAAGCAAGCATCCATTTGTATTCCTTCGATAATTATTTGAACTATTGTTATTGTTGTACAAATTATATTAAAGCATTTGTGTTTTTTTTTGTCAATAATTGCCGATGAAATGAAAATTGAGGCTTAAAGATCTTTGGTAAGTTTGGTTCTGTGTTGATTAAACACGTCACAGCTTACAGGTGAACGTCAGTCAGAAGGTATCTGGCTAGTAATCAAGACCTCTTATTTGCTAAGTTATAATTAATTAACCTACACAAACTGTCTAATGGTTATTGGGATTTTCTTCTTTCTTTATAGTCTAAGCTGAGAGAAACCTCTGATCTGGCTTTGACTTGGTCTCCCTCGACTGTAGTCTTCACCCCTTCTCTTACATTGATTTTAGGATTTTGCGGTTTTACGGTTGAAAGATTGCATTTTACATCAAAGTTCAGTTAGGATCTACTTTTACTCTTCTACGTCTAATTCTTAAATCTTGTCATGTATTCATTTGTTTACAAAGTCCGCCTCTTGTTGCAGTGTACCATGAGACGGAGAGGGATAGTCTGAACGCCGCCCCGGACCCTCCGTCCCTCAAGCCCTCGGGTCGGGACAAGATCCGTCCCAGCAGACTGCTCGGCCTGCTGTCGCCTTCTCACAACGACATGCTGCAGCACAAGGAGCCTTTGTGAGTGACTAAACACTAAGTAATTGAAACTGCCAGATTTAAAAGTATAATTTTTGGGGTTAAAGGACGCTGAGAAAATTTGTTTCCAAAAGTGTTATGAAAAGATAAAGGTTAGATGGGCAAAGGCGACTGCAGGGGAGGAGGCAGGATCATGGCACTTTCTAAGATAAAGTCAATTAAAAATTCACTATGCTCTGTAACGTTTGTCTGGGTTCATAAATCACCAGGAGTTCACTTCTTTAGTTGTGAGTAGGTGGTGGAAGGTCAGCATTAAACAAACCAGGAACAGCTTGGATGTATTTTGACAGGATTGGTCAATTCTGGGGTTAACCTCTGATCATTTGTTTTGCCGGAGGCTTTTGATCAGAAATTGAATTTTTGTGTTTATAAGAAATGGGGTACAATTTACAAGTTTGTGAAATAATTGTATATTACAATCTTGTTGGAAATGGAATAAGATACACTCAGATTTCAACATTTATCACCACACAATACACATGGGTTAAAGAACAGAATTGCCTAGGGGAATTAAGGTTTCATGCATTTTTTGGGTGGAGTGGAATGGAGTGTTTACACAATCTCTTTTATCGCTCTTTACATGTAGTTGTAGTAATAGAGATTGATGGTTGACACTAGGTCTGATAGATACACCAAACAGTCTATAGTGTGTTTCTCCCAAACCTGAGTCTACAATATCATAGTTAATTTTATTCTTGTTCTTCTCACTGATACAGTGGCCACCTGTGGGTGCAGCTGAGTTCTCTCTATGGCAAGCTACTGATCATCCTTATGATTGCCTTCACTCTAGTCGAGGTCATGGACAACAATGTCAAACTTCTCTCTCTGCAGGTCAGTAGAGCTTTTAACTGTGAAACCAAGTTTAATTTTGTCACAAAAGTTTTCTTTTGGTTTTAATTGAGTTCAATATTAGTTTTTAGCTTGATGATTATGTTTAAATTATCCATCCATTATGTTAAAATGATCTTCATCAAATGCTTTCTTCTGATCTTTGTAAAAATCTTACTGTATTCCCTCAAAAGTAATTGCATACAAAATTAAACTGGTTGGTTTAGTTTAGATTACACCAGAAAAACACACAATTCCAGCCTTGCTCTAATTAACAGATATGTAATGTCATAGGTTAAACATACTCCGTATGGATTTATCATCCAATATGTCAGCTAAGAACAATTTTTAAGTACCGTATATGTTTGTGTTCGGTATATGTAGAGGGTACGTTGTTGTAGAAGAAAAACGTTAAGTTGACATCATCATGCCCAAACATGACGGAAAATATTTCAAACACACCCCAAAAATAGAAGCGATAATCTTTACTTAAAATATCCAAAGTAATGGTAAAACCTTCTAAACATTTCCTATACAACATTTTGCTAATTAACATCACGTTTTGTGTGGCAGGGAGTGTACCTGATCTACCTGTATGTGGGCAGCATAGCGGTCATCATCTGCATCTACATCTGGGTATTGGCTGACAGTTGTGCGTCCATGCATGCTGACTCTGACGCAGAACCCACCATCACGACGTCGGTGATAGCTGACGCAGAGCTTGGAGGACTGACGCTCACTCGCTTCGGCTCACTCAAACGAGCTCATCTCTCCAGGCACCAGGCCTCTGGGACCAGCTTCTACCTTCGGATTGGGGCTTTAGGTCAGTACCACCATTACAAAATTAATCTCTTTCACCTCAAACACTCCTTTTTACTGTAACACACACTTAATTAAATACCCCCGCCGCAGCAAACCTGCCGACTAAGCGAATTTCCATTTGTCTGAATTGATTTTCAGTTAAATATATTTTAATAACATTAGGTTTAACAAGTACCTAGGTTTGCTGCTACAAGGAAACTAATAAAGTGTGTTTTTGAGTAAAATATTGATAGCTTAGTACAAAATAAATAAATTTGCCAAGTTTGATAAAAATATATTCATAAACAAGCAAACTACAACATTTGACAATATTCTCCATAAGAATAACATGGGAATTTTAAACTTACAATTTTTTTAATTTTATCCGTTACTAATAATCGAACAAAAATACTTTTATATACTAAATTATTTGTTTTTTTAAGCTCTTTGAAAAGGTCTAAAGAGAAATTGGGAAATTTTGTGTTTTGAGGGTCAAAAGTGAGAAAAACCAATTTTTACCCCATAAAACCCCCCGTAAAGCCCCGTTCCCATGGTCCGATCGTGCTGGTTCGCGAACTCATTCAAGTTTATCCCGCTTTACACCTTTAAACCAAATTTCATCAAAATCGGACAAAAATTACTCAAGTTATCGCGTTCACGGACGTATATATATATATAAGTCTATATATATACCTATATATATATATATATACATATATAAAAATTTGAACGAATAGTGTTTTTGGCCTCTGGGGACATCAAAATGAAAAAGTAAATCGGTCCCGGGTCTAGGTCTTACCGTGCCACCTACGGTAATAGCTACTTCCCTATAGGGAAATTCGCTAAAAATTGAGAGTTTAATGTGTTGTTTAATTACAATAATTATTTGCTAATGGGGCTTATTTTGAGCACTTGTTTCTAATCATCGAACTTTAATAAACCAATATGAAATTTATATGATTTTAAATAAATTATGATGGTTAATGAATATATTTTGGCAGCCTTTGGTCTGGGCACGCTGGTGTTCAATGGTCTGGAGATGGCGATGCACTCCATGATGGAGGCTCCATGTCTCAATGATGTTGTCTTTGTGCATCCTGTCTTACATGGACTCTTCACATTCCTCCAGATGCACTTCCTCTTTGTCAACTCACAGGTTTGTTGATGTTTGGTTGTTTCATTCTGGAAAGTAAAATACCAATGGCTGGCATTTAAAATGATATTAATTTAAGTAGAAGATTGTCCAAGGTGACTGTGTATTAATAAATGAAGCTGAATGATTTGTTCATCCTAAATATGATATGATCCAGGTGGCTTTTATTGAATCTATATAAGCTTATAAAAAAGTATTTTAATTTTATAATAAAATTGTCGTATCAGTTAAGCACCAACCAGAAACAAGGGAAGGGGGGGGGGGTAAAATATTGCAATAATCAACAAGTGGTTATAATTGACAATTTGTATTTGTAGACTACCTTATTGTAGTCATGAAATTATGAATGTGAACCATCTTTACATAAACTTACTTCTTTTCTGTATTTATGTTTCTTTTTTTCTCACTCTAAAAGTTAAGTAGCTCAAAATGTAAATAGTTAAGTAGGTAGCTCAAAATGTAAATATATATGACTTCCTTTGCTAGCCCATATGCATATTTTAGCCGCAAGTGGGGCATTTTTAGGAATATTAACTATCTCTACACTAATTGATTCATTGCATAAACATACAAACACACATAAATATCCTCTTTTGTTCCGGTTATTCCCTCGCCTGTTTGTCAACTAGACTCCTTCTTCTCTTATTCTTGAACAATTCATTTTCTACAATCTCAGTCATCACTTCCATTTCACCTACCCTCCTTCATATACATTTTTCAATATTAGTGCTTGCTGCAGGTGTTAGTGGAGAGGTTTGGGTTGGTAGCTAGGTTTGGCTTCATGCACCTTGCTGCCACCAACCTAGCGCTCTGGGCTCGCTTGGTCATCTGGGAGTCTGGCAATGAGTGGACCTACTTTGTCTACCTGGCGCAGACGGCTGGCGTAGTGCCACGAGCCTCCTCCTACGACGCCTCAGTCCCCACCCCTCTGCAACTCAAAGGCTTCCCTCGCTCTGTCACTGACTCTGCACGGTTCCAACGTGACTTGCGTCATGGTAAGTGAAATGTTAATGATTGCTCCTGTTGATAAAAAAAAAACTAAATTTATTGTGATATTTAATAATCTGATCAGTCCTATACTTTTAAAAATCAAAGTGGGGTGACTTCTCCAACAGTGGAAATCAACAATATTCAATAAAGTGTAACTGTTGAGGCCTTTTCTTGTATCACAATACAAATCTTTTGAAAAATCTCTAAAATAGTAAATAAACTACTATCATAAGCATCTTCAGTTTGTGTTTATAGTGATTTACGTTGGAATTTAATTTTAATATAAGACTGGGACGGGTGGCGTCGTCCTGTAATCCAGCTACTAGGAGGTCACGAATTGTGGATATTTATAGGGATGCACTGTGGATGCGATGCTCACTGGTGTGGATTAACGTCCGCACTAGTGAGTACTACGACTATCCGCAGTACTATCCTGATAATTAGACCAATTCGTAAATTACAAGGAAAAATGTGGTTCGGATTCCACTATAAACTGTAGGTCCCTTAGTTGCCATTAGCTGTATGGGCTATTAATTAACAGCTGTGTCTAAGGAACATGTCGGCCTTAGTCACTAACAAGACTACAAGATCGCGCCACTCATCCTACACTCATCCTTCACTCATATTTGGGTTAAAATACGCACATAGTGGCGTCCCCATCTTAAATAATTGATAATTGATTGATTGAAATACTGTACCTGGAACTGTCATATGACTCTTCTGCTCCGAGAATGGACTACGCAGTTTGATGTTGACATTATCTTCAGGTGGCAACTTAATTCTAGTCCACCAACCATAATAAAGTATAGAACATCCTAATGTTCGTGAGATAAGCTTTATATACCTTTTAATTGGACTGAGTTGCATTGTTTGTATTTGAATTGTAATACTGTACTACTTTGGTCATATACCAATACCATATATTGGTCATATATACCCAAATCATATACATTAACATATGGTTTGCACACTTCCATTTAAGTAACGTTAAATAATGTTTACTTTTGGGCTAGCTACGGTACATAATTTGTTTATGTTTATGATCCATACTGTTTCTGTTCTATATTCATGAGATAAGCCTCTATACATTTTAATTGGACTGAGTTGTATTATGTTTGTATTTGAATTGTAATACTGTACTACTTTGGTAATCAAACATTGTTGGAATGACGGCCTCATCATATTTGATGCCAATGATGGTTACATAATTATGAACCAGAACTAGTTGCCACTGCAATCGTGTTGTATCAACAAAAATACAGGTATGTAAACCTCTTAATAGCATCAATGACAAAATTCACATTTTAAACAACAGTTCTGGACATAAGTTTGTAGTTCAATTATTGCATGGCTTATTTCCAGTTGGCAATGCGACTGCCAGTGCATGGAACTCTCCTGTTTACCATCCCATCTCTGATAGCCACATAGAGCAGGTGGTCGCCTTACATCAATGCCTCAACACCAACTCTCTCGGCCAACTGTGGACCTCATCTATGCCGTTCCTCTATCCATTCATCATCCAGTTCAGGTAAATTGACCAAACTGCTTAATTAGACATATCTGAGCAAGGTGTCAACTGTCAACTAGTTTCTTTAGTGAAAATCCGTGACCTTTTACCATAAAGAATCATCTGCTGCGAAGTTCATCTGTATTAATGGAGAAAATGCCTTGAGTTTAAGAAACCATGAGTTATTTGCTGAGAAAAATGTAAAATATATACATGCACTCTTGAATCGGTTTTTGTTTTGATTTTAATAAACCCTGTGTTACATTCCCTATCTTGTTTCTAACTGTAAATTTACTATTTTATTTTTCTTCTGTGGCTCTGTAGAAATGTGTGATTTAAAATGCATTTAAGTTCAAACCAGTTACTGCGAGCCAGTTAGTGTCTTCGTAAGTTTAATAAACAGAGGACACAATGCTATGAGGTAATAAAATGGTTTGGTAAAAATCTGTTGTTCTTTTGATGAAATAAAATAAAAATTCTGCTGCAGAGCTTACAATTTTGCAATGAAAAGTCCTGAAATTATTTTTATCAATAATCCTTTTCCAAACTGTAACTATAAAAAGTATTGTTATGTAATTTATAAAGTCTTCTTTAATTGCAGTCTGATAGCAGCTGGAGTGACATACGTGATGGGTCGCAACGTTGGTCGAGACAGAATCAGCAAAAAGAAGTCATTTCACAAGAAAGCATTCATCAACAACAACAACAATAATAACAACAACAACGGAGTGTGCAAATCTGCCAACAACTGTGATATGGACCCTCACTACATGAACCCCCAGGCAAGTAGATATATTATTCCTACTTAATTATGTTTTTAGTTCCCATCATAAAAAACCAATAAACAAAAAGGAGTTGATATTCTATCTATATCTATGTTAAACGTTAAAATATTGCAGCCAATTTTCCCATAAAAACAATTCCAACTTTGAGGCTTCAACAGAATGTGTTGCTTGTTTATTTCAATTGGTCCTCATTTAAAGTTAAAAACAATATAAGTTTGAGGAAATTTGTTGCAAATTGCTAAAAAAAACCAATACCAGTAGTATTCTAGGTATACTGGTGGGAGCCTCGTCAAATTGGTATTCATACTATTACAGTTCCAAAAATCTTGCCCATACTATGATGTGGCATCCTCACCAGAACACCTAGAATGTAGGAATGACACTGGCTGCTAGAACCTACGGATGAAGGCAATGCAACAGCACATCTTATTTAACTTGATTTTAGTAACACACTGCTTAACTGCCACAGATTGACTGCACGGGAGCCAGCAAAGGTCTGTTTCTGGGTATTCTGTGTCTTGTGGCTGGTATCGTGGTCATCATCATTTTCCTGGTGGTGAAGGACGACGAAGGCTTCCCTTCAGAGACTCTGTTTTGGATGATCACCGGAACTCTCGCTGGCATTTTGGCCATCAGCTGTATCATGACTATTCTGGGACTCGTGCAGGTAATTCATACATAACTGATTTGTCATGTTTGATTTTAAGTATATCATCTCTTATGAAAAGATAAAGTACGATTTTTTCTTCAATTCTGTAAATTTTACTTTCATAGTAAAAGCAAGTAATCAGCAAAGTAATCACTATTAATAAAGACCTGTACATGTGAAAACATGTAAAAATCTTTATTATCCATGAAGTAAAAAAAAAGCTGTTAACAAAAGACGAGGCTGCCCAAAAACGATCCCATCAGAGTTGGTTCAATGATGCCAGAGTTCTAAATAATTTAATTTTAAAACTATTGTAAACACCTCTTGAATATTCTATTCTATCTTGCCGTTTTGTTGACCGTGTGATCTAATTTAGCCAAATTAAAGCACAGACTAGACCAATAAATAAATAAATAAATAAATAAATAAAAATGCCTTTATTTCCGAGCGTCTCTCAGTACTAATACAACTGTTTTACAGAGTAACTCAGGTCAAAACTAACTAAAAATACAATACTATTATAATACAAGACATCGAGTGATAAAATAAAAATATTAAATATAGGCCTATATACAACTATTTTACAATATTAATACGTTTCTTTAAGTTTCTTTTAAAAGCCAGGACCCCCAGCTGGTTTAGGTCCAAGGGGAGATCATTTTAAATCTTTGGGCCAAAGTACCCCAAAATACCCTCTGGTATCTTCGTTACAGATCAACTGAAGTCAGGTTTAAAGTATGTTTCTCTCCAATTATGTAGAGGGCATTTTGTTCTTGTTATTTGAACAATTTACATAATCTCAGACAATATAACACGTTCTAAACTATTGCTTATGCTTGGGTGTTATAACAAGAGCATACACGGATTGTGAAACGTATCCTGTCCTGATATAAGAAAGAAACACTTAGTCATATATCAGCACAAACTCAAATGAAATGTAACTAACAAAATGAAACTCATTTAGAAAAATTGTCTAGATTTTCAATAATAGTCTACTCGCACAAGTCAAATAATATGGCTAAAGCTGATCTATGTGACTTTTGAGTAGTTCAGTATAGCTCAGTGGTTATACAATCAAAAGGTCGTCAGTCTGATCATGAGAAAAGTCAGTAGCTTTTGATGGGACACTAATAGGACTCAGCGGTGTGCAATCCTTGATGATTAGGATTCAATAAATGATGATGATAAATGATGATGATGATTAGGGCCATTTAATAAATGGTCCTGACTAAATAAATAGCACAGTTAATCCAATACCTAACAAAGCAACAAATAATGCCTCACTTTATTTTCTATACTCACCAAAATGTGTCACCGCATCTTAAAACTATGATACAGTATTATGATAACAGGTTCACAGTTCACACAATACATGTTTTGTATTTGCAGATCCGCAAGTTGTCACTGACAGGTCGTGGTCCAACCACCCTAGACAGTCTACTCTCCACAGCCACCTTGTCTGGGGTGCAGCTGTACTCGGTGTTTGGTGTGGTGGTGGGGGCGGCCACTGTGGCTGTAGCAGCCAATCACAGCAGAGAGCAGCGCACCCACGCCATGCTGCTCATAGTCAGTGGTCTGCAGCTAGTACAGTCTGCTGCTCAGAGTTGTCTCATCGGGGAGGCTCTACGGCGCACCAGCATCACCAGACACCAGCTGCTCACCAAGCCTGGGCGTCAGGTAGATAACAAAGCCAACAATACTCCAGACCTCACAAACTATCTGTGGTGTTTTGGTAACTAAAAAGGACTTACCGTACAGTATTATTATTTTTTTAATGTTCCACCTTCACATCCTAAATTCTAGTTCGGAACTGTTTTACATATTACTTTAGGCTAGCCCTAAGAGGGTCGTGGCATTATCACATAGATAAAATCCATTGGTGTTTGGCTGAATTTGAGCCTTTTGGACCTGGGGCTCCGCAGTTCCGAGCTCTGCCAGTAGACCAGCTCGCTCCTACATCATGTACCATAAAACCCCTTTTAATCACGGCAGCAGGTATTGTCCATTATGGCGAAGACAGTTGGCACAGAATATTAACACGAGAAAGATTAAGTTCACAAAACAACAGTAACATTTTTGAATAATTAGATTTTTTGTATTCAGTTAAAGACTTTTAGATACCAGTTATAAAAATAACATAAACATATGACTGTGGTAGCACTCCTATTTAATCTGGAATAGCCTTTAAATTTCAGCCATTGACTAACAAAAGAAAAAGGTCATACAAAACAGCCTCGCCCCCTATATTCCAGTTAATTGGGGTTTCATTATTGGTTGGGTTTTAGTTTTTAGACAGCTTGCTAAAACCAAACCACTCTACCCTCTTTGTCCCAGAGCCGCTTTAGTAAATGGATCCGGGCCCTGGGGCGTTTGAGGTTTTAAGAGGATTGAAGGCGCAAGGAAGGGAAATTTCAATCACATGGTAGGGGGGAGGGTGCAATCATCCCTCGGGCCTATAGCACATCTCATGCAAATGGCAGACCTGCTTTGCCTCATATTTTTTATCTCCCTACTGTTTGACTACAAGATCATGTTACTTTTAGCTTCCGCTCAGTTGCCTTTACATCACTTTGTGGATAAAGCTCAGTGAACTTTAAGAACCACCAATGTGAATGCATTTTTCCATGCAGTGAAAGTTTGTAAAAATAAACAAGAACTTTGAAACATTATTGTTTACGATATCTAGAACCAAAAGGTTTTTAGATTCTCTACATGACTCTCTCTTTGCAGGTGATCACATTCCTGCTGTGCAGCAACATTGCTTTGTGGGCTTTTCACTCCTTCGTAGGCCAGAGCTGGCTGAGTCAGGAACTTCAACTTAGGTGAAAATCCATTATTGTTTTGAGTACTACCACTACCCATTTTGTACAAAAAACATTTGTTTATTAGTTTAAGTGAATTTCTTTCTATTAAATTAATAATTATTCAGATACTTCTAGACCAGACTCTTGTTCAAACTAGAAAAAGTCTGAAACTGTTAGAAGTTTTACGAGTATGGTAAACACATTTTGGACAAGTGACGTATGGTCCTTTTGCCATTCTACTCTAAACTAACCTAATAATTAAAAAAAACTGTAAAAATCCAATGTATATTCCTACTGATCAAAGGACTTAACAATTGATACTCGTAACTTCCAATAGTGGTTATGTTTTTGTTTATAACCACTCATTGCTGATAACACTGCTCATAACAGCTGATGGCCCGTAATAGTATATTAAGTTACTAGTCCTGAAAATAAGTGTTTACCGGACGAGTGTGGTCGTTCCCGTGCGAGACGAAGTCGAGTACGGGATTACCATACGAGTCCGGTACACACATTTTGGACGAGTTATGTACGATAGTTTACGCCATAATACTTAATCCGTACAAATCCTTATATATTTCCACCAACTAAAGGACTAATGGAGGCACATGGTTGGCGAGGCCAAAAACCACCTAGGTTTCCAATGGCCACAGGAGTAAGAGTAAGTAAGTAAGTAAGTAACTAAAGGACTAACACTAGTCACTAGTCACTAGTATCACTAGTCAGAGGTTATGTTTTTGTTTATAACCACTAATTGCCACGAAAATACAGTATAATCAGCTGATTGGTGTCCGGTAAAACTCATTGCAGAACAGTATTACGCAATGAAACCCCATTTGAATAAGCAGGCGGCAAACAGCTGTTTTCTGGACTAAATCCTTGCGTGGAAAGATTATCAAAATAATGTAGTGTGGCGTAAAATTCATTACTGTTCCTGTATAGTAGTAAATAAAGAACCCCCATTCAATCGAATGCTTAATCAAGCAGCTGTTTTCCGGACAAAATACAAGTGTGGAAAGTTCATTAAAACAAAGTAGGCCTACTATGGCAACAAAATTGGTTAACTAAAGATTAAATCAATACAGCAATATTTTTACTTACTAAAGAGCAACAGATGAACCAATAATTGTGACTTGTTTGTTTATGGGGCTTTGGACAATGCGATAGGGATACGTAGTTATACACAATTAAGAGAGAGAATCTATTGTAAATGTAAATATGAAATGCATCAAGGAATGCCATTGATGATGGCAATCAAAATAAAATGGAAATACTAAGGTACCTAGTATTGGTGATACTACTGATACAATTAATTTCAAAATCTAACTGCTCAGTTTTTTTACAAAACTGATCAGACATGGCCAAGAACATTGTCTCAATGTACTCTACCATATCTATGTTCACTGTTCAGGTACCTCGGTGTGTTGGCCTGGGGAGTCATCTCCCGCATCTCCCTTCCTCTACTGGTCTTCTACCGCTTCCACTCTGGCGTGCTGCTCCTCGAGGTATGGCAGAGAGCATATCGCTGCTCCCGTCTGCAGGACAATTGACAATCACGACGATCCAGACGGTTAGTCTCTTGTCAAACTTTTTTGTTTTATTTGTTTGAAATCTTATCTTCATTGGTTACTTACCATTAAATATATTTTTTCCACAGGTATTACTTGAATCTTTGAATGTAAATACTTTGCCCAGAAGTAGAAATTTGTCATTCCAATGTTTAAAATATGAGAAATCTAGCTGCTATAAAAAACTCTTTGAACGAAATTGGCTACAGCAGGTCAATATGACTGTTGGGTTCTTGTAAAACTACGTCCACAAAGACTGAAACGCAGTACATGTTATAATATACCTCTCTTATTGGATGAAACTAAATTTAATCATTTTCACACACTCATCCACACAGCACATTAGCTGTTCCCACCAACGGCTGAAGCCGGCCATCACACGACCATTGTGTTAATAACTGTAAAGACAAATGTTCTTTAAGATCAAAATGTTCAAGAGATCCTTATGCTTATACACTAAACTTGTTCCTAGGTGACACCCACTTAAGACTCTAAACTATTTTCTGGCAACCAGTTTGAACATGTTGTAAACATTTTCAGTGTCCCTTGAAACTCTTTTTGAAAGACCCATCAGAGGAAAATCAAGGATCCTTTATACTTTGTGAATAGGTAAGGCCATTATGAAAGACTTTTGTCAATTACCATATATTTCTTCTAACATTGCCTTTTGCTAGTACCTACTCTATGAGTGATGTTTGTCTACGTAGGGCCACAGGACGAGGTGCCAAGCAGCCTAAGCAGGTGCCACTGCCAGGGCCGGAGGTAGAGTGTGTCTATTTGGCACCTCATCATGGCTCCTTCTTCCTCAACTTCGAATATGCACTTCCACCTCCACGCAGAAAAAAACTTCTTCCTCACCAATGCAAGAAGCGTGAGCCTGTACCATGCTTTCTGTTGGACCCTTACACATCCACCCCCTTCCGCAAAGTTCCTTGGCATCCAAACCTACACATGTTAAAATTTTGAAAGTATTACCTACGGTTGGTTTATGCTTATTTTGATTTTATATTGAAATTGAAAAAAAAAAACACTCTTCTACGTTTGGCATCCAAAGACATACTATGTTCAAATACTTAAAATTGCGAAAACACAAGGTGGTTCTTAAAGACATAAACAACTTTACACACCTATAAACACATTAATAGTTTTATAACTTACATCCGTTTGGTTGGTTTTAATGTATAGTAAAATACCTCAAGTTTTAATTTTAGATAGCTGATTGTTGTCAACAATGTAAAAAATTTGACAACGGGTAAGGTTCAGTGTTTACTGTTTGGGAAGAAAATGGCAACTTAAATTTTAGAGAAATTGGTTTTGTGTGTTTAAGTTTTAAAATACTTGAACAGTTATTATTGTTCAACGTCAGTGTTGGACCCTTGATAATATGAATTTCATCTACGACTGACATAAGAAGTTCAGCACAATAGGTTTATGAAAGAAGGAAAAAACCTGACAGGACTACGGTAACTAATGAAGTTAAGTAAGTTTGTTCAACTGTTGCACTAATTGAGAGTATTGACAGCTCTACTGTTTTAAGAGTTTGGTCAGAATAAAAAATATATGATTTGTATGTGAACTGAAGTACGCATAACAAACATTTATCATACACGGGAAAAAGCTTGACAATAGGAACTTTCTAAAAATTGAAGGTGCATTCTCCTTGTAATAACTAAAACATAGCTGTATTGACCAACAAAGTTGTTCATTCTTTTAGAATCACCCTGTTTTTTCTGTGATTGGTTACGCTTAGATTTGTCCTAAAAATTTTACAGTGGCAAAAGAGACCTAATCTAAAAGAAGCAAATATTTCTCTTGGTAATTAATTTTCACTATTTTCATTACAAAGAAAATTATTCAATTCCTTGATAACTCCTAAGACCTTAAAAATCTATAACCTAAGGGTTTTTAAATATTCAAATTTCAAATCATCCCTTTTGTCAGTTTGATCCATCCATTGGAAATAGCTTTTAAAACAACTATGACAAGATAAATGTGTCAAAAAAGATTGAGTGTTAGCTTAAGTGTAGACCAAAACATTGTTAACTAGTTGATACCAACCCATAACATTTCTTCAGAATGCTAATGGCCAGTCAAAGGATCGAAAAATAGTTTTGTACATTTTTGTTTTATTTATTCACTATAAATATTTGTTCAAATGTATATATAATCTGTCTATAAAATGTACTTATATATAAAATTACTAATTTTGTACAAAAATACTAACATTTATGTGAATATTTTTATATAAGGAAACTGAATTATGGCTATTTTTACTTCTTGCACTGGCCTGAAAACTAATGAAATTTCAAACAAATTAAATTTTAAATCCATACAATGTTTATGTTGTACCTAACATTTCATATGCCATATTAGAATTACTTTGTTAGTAGTTAAGAATCAAACTTAGTTAAGAAAGTGTAATTGTAAATAGAATAATGTTAGATTTGGATTCAGTTGAAGGAAAACAGCTCAATTATTATCAATTGATTTCTTTCTTAGTACTGCAGTAATGTCATAGAGTTGATTTTGTAACACTTCTATGTTAGCAGAATTGGTCATAAGTATTTAAAAATATAATGTATTTTTAAAGTGATCTCCAAATAAGTTGTTTTTCAAAAGTTTTTATGAAATTTAATTCCTAGATATAAGCTATTATTATTTGTGATAACAAAAACAGTTTTATAACTGTCTTATATAACATTGTGCAATATTGCCCAAAGATATTTGTACATATATTTTATAATTAAATGTTTTTATCCTAGCGATTTTTGTTCATATCCTATTTCCATTTATCAACAAATTCTTGAGCAAATTAGATAAACAAAAAGCCATGCCACATAACACTGGTATTTTGTCCGGTTATAGGGCTTCTTTAAAAGAGTAAATTAAAACGTATTTGTAATTTCATTTAAATAATTTGGATTAAAATATATATGTTTATGACAAATGGATGACAGATATGAATAGAGTAAGTAGCTAAGTGGTCATAGTGCTTGCCTTCAAATACTTTAACCCTTTCCACTCCAATTACGGGAGGCCTATTTTCTCACCAGCTCCATTTAAATAGAGCCAAATTTTCATATTTAATTTGTTTACCAAAAATAAATATCGTCTTGATTTATTGAAGGCTGGTAATCTTTTTCTAAATACTTACACAAAATCACTTTATCACATTTGGTATATTTATCAGTAAGGGTAAAATAGAAACAGATATTTTTGGTAGCAATTTATTGTAACAATCCAAAAGATACAAGATGGATCATTGTATACCGACTATTGACTAGTAACTCAGATTTAACGTTTAAGTGGCACCAGATACAAGGATATATGACTGAAAACAACATTTGTATAAACAATGCCTTCTAAATCTAGAATCATTGTTGGAGCTATTCCTTGAAGTGGAATTAATTTCTAAAGTAAGTATATGAACACAAAAACACAATGGAAACCAATAACTAAAAATGTTCTCTGTTAAAAAAATATCCATGCACCTAGAAATGTTGAGAGCTTTATTACAGTGAACAGACGTCTTTAGGCCTACTGAAGCCACTGACAATGTTCAACTCTTAGCAATGGTATGTGATGTACACATTTTTGCTGTCCCTCCACTCCATATAAGCTAGCAAATCTGATAGTAAAGTTGCATAAAATAATACTATTTGTAACAATTATGAAAAATATAAAGGTTTTCCCCAACTATGCAAAAATAAAACTGTGTAAATACAGGGTTGGGCAAAAGTATGGGCACTCACTATTAAATTGTTAATGGGCTACACCAGGAAAAACAAACTAATTACGGTTCAAAAGTTATTGCAACTTTTGTGATTTTTATCTATAAAATATCATATTTACCCTCACCGCTTACCCATGATAAAGGTTGTTGACAAGCTTATGGGAGAAAGTATGTGTCAGAATGCTGATACCGTTTATTTTATTGGTATTCTGTTTTTGTTCGAAAGCCCAAAATGTTTTATTTTGGGGGCAGCTCAAAAATGTTAAATGTAAAGCCCCTTCTAGTGACACTTCATTTCAGGGGCCATAGATTAAAAAGAATATCAGCGAAAATTAGAGGTCTATTATTCATCAGCCTGGTGGGTTGTACCAGGAAAACTAAACTCAGTATTACCATGATAAGAAACTAAAAAGTACTCTTTGGTTGGTGTAACACATTTTGCCCAGGCGGGGGCCCAACCCTCAGGGTTTGTACTTTGTATAACCATAGATTTGCTTAATTAGGTGGTTAACAGCTTCAATCCTCATGCTTATTGATTCAGAAATTAATCCACACTCCATTAATCACGTTACATTCATTATTTGCTATTGCATTACTTTGATGAACTAAAATTGCAAACCTCTTTCACACAAAAAAATGGATTTTCCTAGCTCCACTGCACTGCATGATAAGGAAATTTCATTGGTTATATTTTACTGGCACCATTCAAGCAAGCAATCGGCCAGACCTTTGAGACAATGCATTGAATGATTAGTTATCTAGAGACAAGGAAAGACTGCCTTTTACATAAGGAAATCAAAAGAGTACAATGGAGGCATAGTTGAATTTATATATTCTTCGAGTACAGAAGACTGAACATACATACAATCTAGGTTTTTGCACTTCTCAAGAAAGGGCAACATCAAAGACATCCCTCTATCTAAAAAGGTTCAAAAATATCAAAGATTATTCAAGTTCTCCAGAGAATGACCTGGATAATCCTGAACCATGTACATCTCCACTCAAGAATCAATGGAAAAATGTAAGATACAGGCTGGACAAACAAAGAATGAACTACAGACGTTCAAAACCCTCTCTTTTACAGTCCCCCGGTCCCAGTTTCACTGAACACACTGCAGTATGGTCCAGTGCTACAACATTACATTAAATGTTGCTGTGAAGGGTTGGGTTTGTGCTATATGTGGAGCTTGAAAAACCCAACTTAAGAATATTAAACAAATCTCACAACAAATTAATTTAAAAATGAACAATTAAAAATGTCCTTACTTCTCATTATTCCTAAACTACATCAGTCATACAATACATCATTACAAGTTAACATGCTTACGAACTTTTATATACCGTATGCTTGTTACTTATTATTTTGCATTTTTATACGATTACGATAATAAACGCTATATGTTGCAGTATATTATGATGGCAGTGGTCCTCAAATTTTTATTGCAACTACTCCTGCCTTTGGGATCTCTACCAAAAAAGGAATGTAATTTTTTAGCAACTATTGCAAATCAGAAATCCAAGGGCAAAAATACTGGAAGATGCTGGAGGCTTAAAAAACTGGCCCTGAAAGATGTTCAAATTCAAGATAAGCTTTACAAGTGTAAAGACAGAAAATTCACCTCACTTATCTTTTGGTTACCCACTTTAACATTCTGTAATCAACCTAAATCAAAATGATCTGCCTTTTAGTTAAAAGTTTAATTAATGCACTGCAATGCTTTTGGTTTCAGGCATGTTTTTGTTTATAACAATCAACTATACATTGAAAGTTTAGGAACCACTGCTCAACTATATAAAATAGTTAACATTGCTTTGTTTGGACAGAATGACCAGGAAATGGCAGATAAGGCAATATACAACCAAACCAGAAAAACTAACAATAAAAGTGCTTAAAACAAAGTTAAAATTTGTCAAATTAACAGACAGAGACATGCATCACTACTTAAAATTACTAAAACACAAATATTATTAATACAAATAAAAGAAAGGCTGCTATAATTTGTGTATACATGATATATGAAATTTGTTACATAATAATGTGTAACGGTAACAATGTTTAATTTGATTTGCAACAATGGATACCAACAATCTATCAAAAAAACTGGCCGGTAAAAAAAGGCTGACAAGAAGAAAATAACTAAAAAACATAATGTTAAAGGCATCTTCAGTAGACAATTGATTGCTCTCTGAATCCTAGAACAAAAACAATATTATTAAGAGAGATAGAAAAAAAAAAATAAATAAGGCAGTAACTAACCTTAAATATGGCAGAAAGACCATAAATGTCTAGACATAAGATATAAATTTTGGAATTAATAAACAGCTGATCTGAAAGGCAAGGTGAGCTGAAAATAACCTGCTGCACTATAATAAATGTGAAATGTTTATAATAGGTCTTGTTAAAAAAAAAAAAAAAAACACTAAAGGAGTTTTCAGACTGACACTCTGTCACACAAATCTAAGCTAATCTTAAAAATTATATGTCTTTAAATTATCTAAAAAGAATTGTCCCCGACATTTTTCTTCAGTTTACACTAAAAATTTGACAACCATCATGAAAATTAGCTTTAGAATAACAATTTATTTGGGTTGTAAAATAGCTGACTGTAGTAAACATTGTTTATAAAAATCAGGCCATAAATTATTAGGTTTTCGGTAGTACTGTATTCTCTTTAAAAGCCCCTGTCACACGGAGCTGGTTTTTTCACCGCTAGTAACTAGCAGCTAGAACCAGCATAAAAGCAGCATCGTGTGACTGATTCTCCAGCTGCTAGAAACACTCGCATGAGCTGGTATCTCTAGCTGCTGGAGGGTTTAAACAGTTTAATATTACAAGCACTTGTAGAGTCACTAGCAGGTCACGTGACCACTCAGCTGTCGTCCCTAGCGCAATTCCAGCTCCGTCTGACAGTATCGTGCTAGTTCTCGCAGTAATAAAAACGAATTTAAATTAATTTAAAACATATAAGCATTATAAACTAATCAAGAACAAAATTAAAATTCATGTTTAGAAATTTTTTCATGAGTTGCCATAATTTTCTTGTTGTTACGATTGATACATCTCACCGATATAAACTAAACGAATGTGTTTTCTGAGTTGATAAAAGATTAAGAACTTTTGTTATAGACCTACCACAACTTATTTAATTTTAATTTGTTAATTTACATGCCCGTAGTACATACAAAATAATAGTGTTTATATATTATTAACATTTCATTTTTTCCTTGCAGTCTTTTACTTTTATGATGGCTGGTCATAGACAAAACATCACCTCTAATACCAAGAGACAACATTAGTTTTGTTAACTACACACACAGTCCCAATTACATTACCAGACTTATAAGTTGTAGTGCTATAGTTCGGCCGCTTAGAAAACGACCTGCGCGCTAATGCTAAACCAATGCTGGAGGAGGTCGCTTTCTAAGCGGCCGAACTATAGTTCTCCATCTTCGTCTGACAGGACTTCTAGCCTGCTGGAGAACTAGCAACTAAAGGTGCTGGATCTCGCAGCGAGAATTACCTGCTGAAACAAGCTCCGTGTGACAGGGGCTTAACAGGTAAGCTATAGACTTCATCATTGAATTATATGACCAGTTTGGCTTGGTTAAAAAGTCTGAGTATTCTATTGAAATCTGTAATTTAATCATCACACTCTGTCTGTGGCTGGATTCAACAATGTCCAGTTTTGTTAGGGTTATCTATCAGCCGCAAGACAAAGAGCCCACAGGGAAGCCCCAAATGTCTGAGTACATGCCTAACATTTTCTTATCACAGCCACTAAAAACTGGCTTATATCTAGTAGGATACTCTTCGCTCAGTCTAACTCCGTGTCATTAGCTGCAGGTGCACGAGGAGCCCCTACAGGGAAGCCCCTCGCCATGCCTATGTATTTGACAGACATCTTCTTATTACAGCTACAGTAGCAACCTCGCTTATGTCTGGTAAAAGGTAAGATACTCACCGCTCAGTCTAACTCCGTGTCATCAGCTGCGGGGGCATGAGGAGCCCCTCCAGGGAAACCCCCCGCCATGCCTGCGTACTTGCCAGACATCTTCTCTATCACTGCCACCACCTTGGGGTTGCTCAGGTATTTCACATAATTCTGAGGGTTCTGAGAGATGTCCTGGAACGCTGTTGCTACTTCTGGGTCCTAGGAATATAATTATAAATAAAAGAATCTAAATGAATCATTACTGTGACAAATATGAAATACTCTGAGGGATAAATCATGACTCAAAACTTTGAGGCACACTAGTGCTTCTGGTGTTTAATTAAACTTTAAACCCTTATATACAACAGTATTTCAGTTATAAGTCCTTTCACTAAATTCTTGTTTAGGGCCGTAGATAGGGGGAAGGGGAAAGGGGGGCCATTTGCCTCGCGCAAGCGGCAAAATTGAGGTTGCTATATAATTTTGTTAACTTTACTCTAGCTTATACAACAAAAATGGTTCTTAAGAAAATATTTATATGGTGAGGTGCAGGGACGGGAGCAGCAAACATGACTACTCAAGGTCAAAGTAGTTTCTTGTATTTACAGGCGTGTGTAGAGTAGACCGGTGCCGCCTGCTCCATCCTACTCTTGATCCCGTCTCCGCTCCTTGATTGATGCCTATATTTTTTTATCAACATATATTTTTCTTAATTGCTTTAATTTATATCTGAAATTGAAGACGTTTCTAAACAATCATTAGCAGAGGCAGATCCAAGAATTTTCAAGGGAAGGTCACACTTATATTTCTACTTGTTTTCCATATACCAACAAAATTGTAGTGAGCGTTATAAGGGTTCAAATCAGACCTATTTTTCAAGAATGGGTGTCAGTTTACTGATAAAAAAAAATTGAGGATTGGTAAAAAATGTTGTTTTCTGTTTATTGGTTGTCTTGCAATAATTTCGCCACGGTTGCAGGTGACAGTTCTGACAGTCTGTTGATCTGTCCTTTTTACATTTGTTTAGGTTTCAGTGGCATTGATAAGATAGGTAAGCCAAAAGAGATAGCTGTTCTAAAAATGTAGAATAAACAGTAAACATTACTAATAGGGAAAGACTTAAAAAATGGTATACTGAGCTTAAAAGACTGGTAGAGAATAAAATTGATTGGAATATCCAGTTCCCATAATAATGCTAGGAAATGGTTGGCTATCAACAGAAGCAGATTTTAACTATCTGCATGAGTTACCTTGAAGGCTTGCATGAGCTCAGGGTCGTTGAGCAGGTTGAAGAGGTTAGCTCCTAGTGGGTTTCCTCCAGGGAAGCCACCACCTAGGTCGTCGTCTGCTGCATGCTGCGCTGCCTCAGCTCGTGCCGCCTCCGCTGCCTCTCTGGCGCGTCTCACTCGCTCCATCTTCTCTTTTACCTCTTTCTCACGCCGTTTGCGCTCATACTTCAGTCTGTGTTCTTCCAGTTTACGAGCCTAAAACATTAGGAGTATGATGTGGCTGTAATAACAAATCTGAAAAACAATGTGGGGACTAGGTATCAAGGCAATTGTAATGAAGGCATAAGAAAAATTAGATTGTGATACTTGTTTTATTAGAATAGGCCATTAATGAATTACAATCAGAATATTGGCAGATTTCGGCAACATTTATTTTCCCCCCCTTTTCTTAAGTAAATATTTTCTTAGCCATAAGTCATAGAAACAAATTATTAAACGTATACTATAGGAAATTTAATTGTCTACAAAATTGAATATCACTTCCTTTTTGCTTAAAAACGCCAAAACGGAGATATAGGCAAAAGTCTCAAGAAAGTGCCGATTTTTTTGATATATCCAATATGGCGGCAGGCGTAGAGAGGGGAAAATTGTGCATTTTGCTTTTTGAACACCTACTTACCATCCTTGACAACATATAATAAATTTAGAACTACCGGACCGCTTGTAAGTTAACATACCTCTATTCACAGATTAAAAAATATTTAACACCTGCTGGTAGAGTAGGTATATGGCAAGTCTGCCAAAGCCATCATGGACATCTGACAGAACTGAGCAGCACACAGCACAGATGGGCTGACTCACAAAACACACTCAAGGCTCTTTGTATGTAAAGAACAGTTTGGGCTAAATCTTTATGACTCATGAAAGATTGTCCATTGTATGAGCTAAACAAAGACAGCCACAAGGGTCATTACCTCTAATGTGTTCATTACTATAGGGATTTTAGGAAAATTCTCCTTTATACACAGCAAATGAATATAATTGATGACTTTTAAAGCTAATTGTATTGTTTTAATGAAAAATTACTTTTTCTCCATATAGCAGCAAAAACGGCTGTTTTCAATACACGAGTTGCTGAGGTTACAGTAGCTCTTGACGAATTTGAATTAAAATGACGAACATTTTAAGTAAATGGATTTATAAATTTATTTATATTTATGGTGTGACTTTTAGTTTTCTCAAAAGTGCATGGGTACTTCGGGATTTATATATGGAATTATAAAGGTAAATAAAGTACAGATTTTCTAAATAATTATTTTATAATATAAGCCTATATCATAGGCTATTAAAACGTGAGTGTTTTTTTTTTATTTTAAGAATCTAAATCCACCACTTGACCGATTTTTATGATTTTTGTGTTGAAAGAAAGATAGTTTTGAAAGGAGCGGAATGTCAAAACCATAATTTTTATTTGAGGTTTAGTTTTTTAGAAATTAAGTTATAATTTTAACTAGCAGCCGATAGTTCAATATCATTTTAAGTTTCTTTTAATGTAATTTGGTTTAAGGTGATATACAATACAATCTGTTTGCAAAAATATGGATTGTCAGTATTACATATTTTATCGATGTTAATAAATGTAGTTTATCTTACCATAAGCAGTATTTGTAGTATTGTTATAATTATATTTATCTAACTTGCATTTATTTGTGAATCAAGAGATGGACTATTTATTATTTACTTTGTATTGTAAGTGACTTAGCCTATTGCTTTTGCTTAATGGCCAAATAAATCATTGAATCATTGGCGTTTTATGGTGTGTGTGTGTGTATGAACGTTTACGTATAATCAAGTTTTGTCATAACTATTGTCTTCTAAATATAAGTTTATGCTGTGGAAATTGGAACTCATGCTAGAGAAATATTTTTTCAGCAAATTATCGCTTAATTTATTTAGTTATAAGGGGTTTACGTTTTTGAGGAAGTCTCAGAACTGGGGTCTACATTAGAAGAGGCAGGTGATAATAAAATGTAGGTGTGTTGTTAGTTGGCGAGGCCAAAACCCTCTTAATGTACCAATGGCCAAGGGGGTGAGATAACTTTAGTAGTATTATTCAATGGAAGGTGGTACTGGTATGTAGCTACTTACAGCCGGTGTGGAAGTTAGCTACCAATTTCACTTCAAGGATTCTTACATTGACAAAATTGATGTTTTTAATAAGTGGTTTCTCATGTAACAAAAAAAGTATTAGCCTATTTTTATCTGCTGAGAAAACTCATTCCTTGTATACTTTTTTTAGATTTATAGTATAATAACAATTAAATCACAACAACAAGTAATATGGGAACAATGTTTAGATTTAATGGGCCAACTTTGATTTATATTATTCAATACTGATTCATACTGTGATGTGTTTATATAGGCTAAGTAAATTAAATACCATTCTCCTGCCACAGAAAACCTCAAGACTAATAAGTGAACTTCAATCAGTCTGATTGGATTTTTACTAAAAATCCATATAAAATTCCCCTTTGCCCATACAACATGTATTGTAAAAAAACAAAATCAAAATGATCAAACAACAATAACAAAACAATGAAAATACTCAACAAGAACCGTGGGTTACTTCACCTTGACTTAATATTTTTTAAATCTCTAAATTTAGATCAAACCCCCTGTATAGAGATAATTTTCATGAGTATTTCTGGGGTGTAACTTAAAAAATGTCTAGTAAAAGCTTCTATTCAACAGATCAATACAAGTTGCAAGCTTATCATTGATTTCAAAAAAATAAAAACAATATACATTTTTGTTTACAAAAAACTTTTAAAAAAGGGATGTTTCCAAAAAGATTAACTGTCTGTCATATATGTATGTTCTTATTCTAAATCATCAATGGCATTATTATTCAAGTTGAGTTTGATACTCTATGTCGAGTCTATATAAGTAGGTTCAATCCCATCATTATACTGTCACATAAAAAAAAAATGAAGATGGCGGAATAAATATTATAATGATTGAGTAGGCCTAAAGATGGAAGCAAATGCGGGACATTGCTGTGGCAGTGAGTTAGTCAGAGGTGTGTCTGACTACGGTTACGTGGACGCGGCCGAGAGCCGACGGCCTTATAAGGGCCACCGGCCAGCGGATAAATATAGCGTCGCGGCGCGGCGCGCAAGTCGTGGACAACACCGCCGCGCCGCACCGTCACCAGACTACAACCGCTACACACCACACGCTGCCATCTCGGCACAAGACTAAAGTTTAAATGATTCTCATAAATTCTCTATTGTTACTTATAGCATAGATTAAACGCTTAATCTATGCTTATAGTTCAAACATATCATTGAATGAAACGTGTTAAGTTGTATTGCGATTTTTCGAAATTCAAGACCTCTCCTATCGTTCCAAAAGCCTTATTCGAAACACCGGGGCATGTGGCCCGAAACACAGAAATATCTTTAGGTGATCGGTAGCGTTTTCGTAGATCATTGTTAAGAAACTCAACATGGTGTTGAAGTACAGCGATTCAGCTGCAGCATATCGTAGTTAAGGTAAATGCACCAGTAGCTGACAGTGCTCCAGAAGCTGACAGTTTGAGTTTCTTAACATTATAATGTGGTCTCTTATAAATATTTACACATGATTGCATTGTTAGAAGAACATATGTTTATTCTTGATCTTATTTACAAACAAATCAGTGAAATTTAGCCCATACTCGCAAAATGGTGGTGGTTTGAAAACGACCCTGTCTGTACACATCACATTTAGTCGATTCCCTTAATGAAATTGTCAAGAAAGTAAGTTTGGTTTTTTGTCATTTCGCTAAATTTCTTAAATAGTATAAATGATTAGGCTCATTATTTTTATCAATTATACCTTTGTTGACAATTTCATGATAAAATTGGGGTGTTAGGGGTTTTGGATTTAAAATTATATCAATGTCAGGCTTTGGTACACAAAAGCCATACAAGTTCCACTAGCTGACAGGGGATATTTGCTACTACAGCACAATATTAAATTGGTTTTACCCATCGAAATTTGCATGCTATTTATAATTTATGTGATCTCACATTTTTATAAAATTATTTTAACTTTTTAATTTATAAGCCAAATTATCTTAAAAAATGTATATTTTTTAATATATATATTATATATATATATTTTTTTAATGTAATAAATATTATTTATTTTAAAATGTGTAAAATAATTTTTTTTAATAACGTTCTACATGATATTATAATTTAATTATTAAGTTAGATTTTATTTGTCTTATAAATTATAAAACCCTTAGGTTTAGCAGCTATAACCCATTTATAGTTCCAGTGTCAGCTACTGGGACAACCGACAGTCAGCTACTGGTACAAGCACTTTTTTCACTGTCAGCCATTGGAACACGTACAAAGGTTGAATTAAGTTTAAAAATGTTATAAAATAAATTTAAAAAACCCTTTTTGTATGACAAATTTGAAAACTACACTAAATTTAGAATCACATAAAATCCGTAATATCTCTTTAGTTCCTATTTATTCAAAACCACGGATTATTAAGTGCGTATAGTTTCTTATACTGTCAGCTACTGGTGCGTTTACCTTAAACGGTGCTTCAGATTTCCGGTTCGATCATGAGAAGCTCATTGGTTTCTTGATCATTGTAATTATTATTTTTATAAAGCCTTCAAACAAATAGTATTTTACGCCACACTAGGCTACATTATTTTTAAGAACTTCCCACGCAAGGATGCAGTCCAGAAAACAGCTGTTTGCCGACAGCTCAATCAAATGGGGTTTCCATTACGTACTACTGTACTGTAACGAGTTTTTACCGGACACATATCAGCTGATTATACTGTATTTGGGTGGCAATAAGTGGTTATAAACAAAAACATAACCTCTCTTAGAGGTTATGCCTAGTGGTTTTTAGTCCTTTAGTTGGTGGTAATATAAAAGGATTTTAACGACCACACTCGTCCGGTAAACACTTATTTTCAGGACTAGTAGCGTAATATACTGTTACGCTACACTACACTGTTTTAACGAGCTTCCCAAGCAAGAATTTAGTCCAGAAAACAGCTGTTTGCCACCAGCTTAATCAAATGGGGTTCCATTAACCATTACGTACTGGTACTACTGTACTGTAATGAGTTTTTACCGGACACCAACCAGCTGATTTGGCAATGAGTGGTTATAAACAAAAACATAACCTCGAGGTCACGAGTACTAATTGAGTAGCCTAGTGATTGTTAGTCCTTTAGTCGGTGGGAATATATAAGGATTTGTACTTATATTTATTGTTAAGTTAAGTTAGTTTATAGTAGTATGACGTAAAATATCGTACGTCACTCGTCAAAAATGTGTTTACCGGACTCGTAAGGTAATCCCACACTCGACTTCATCTCGCACGGGAACGACCACACTCGTCCGGTAACTATTTTCAGGACTAGTAACGTGATAGTATCTATAATCTGTTACTGAGCTTTATTATACTGTGATTCATTCTACATACACCTTTCACTATTCAGTTTACTGTACCTTAGATCCGTTGGAAATAAATAAATAAACATACGAGCTTATCTAACTAGGCTTACGCGGCCTACAGCGTCGCATTGGTGTTCAGTGATTCACTTGGGTTGTCAGCTGACCTAATAGCTCATATACTAGCTGTGTGCCCGTTCTACGCACGGGGATCTTATTG